TAGAAGGCATTGAAGTTCTCCTTTTTCATTCCTGAGCAACTCACGCTCGGTCTGCCAAACACTCTTCTCAATCTGAAGAGCATCCTTCTCATCCTGAAGGGAGTCAGTTTTCTTTTTCAGAGCGTCCCTCTCTTTCTCAACTTTGTTGAGCTGAACCATCAGCTCGGTATTCTAAGCAGCTAAAGCATCGTTCTCCTTGTTAACTGCACCAAGGTTGTCAGATAACATACGAACCTTGGTATTAACCAGCTCAACTTGTTTTTGCATGGCCATCATCCCATACAAGGTCTGTAGAGATATACATGACAACTGATTAAGCCGAGTAGATGGTCAGAAGAAATCAAATGTAAAGACTATGTAAAGATTCATTAACTGAGGGGCAAAAGTTACCTCCATGGCAGACAAGGGGAACCGGCTGAACACTTCTTTCTGAGACAGACCCTTGGCTACTTCAATATCTTTAGGAGTCCACATGCTCCTGTAGTATGCCATGGTGGTCTGACCATCCTTGAACATGGTCTCGTCCGGCTTTACAGACGATCCGTCCATTCGAATAAAGCGAGGGCTCCATGGGGCCGATACAGAGGCAGAGGCATTAACGTAGGTAACTCCATAGAAGGTAGGAGGCCTAGTCAGAGGGGGCATGGACACACTTGGCCCAGAGGGCCTAACCCTTTGGGACAAAGGGATGTCATCAATACTGAGAGCACTAGCAGGATAAGGCCTTTTTCCTCTCGCCTTTTCCCGAGCAGCAACAGTAGCAGAGCTGGGAAGGTTGCTGACAGAAAGAGTTACGTTCGGATTGACGGGTGGAACGCTGGAGACCGGGCCGGTAGCTGTCACGGATAGGTCAATAGAAGGAATGGTATTAGAAACAGTAGCAGAAAAAGATGCTAAAGCTGGGGAAGAAGTTGCCACAGGGTTAACAATGGTCCTGGGGGCAACTTTCTTCCTGCTGAAGGAAGGGATCTGGAGTTTACTCATTGTCTTGCCAAGGGCTGAGAGAGCAAGAAGGTTGTCTGAGGTAAAGAGGTCCGAGCAAGAGGGAATGTCGTTCAAAACGTACTTCTCCAATTAGTTATCCTTATCCCTGTAAACACCGTAGCTTAAATCATCACAAGGAATGCCTAAGGAACGGCATAAGAAAGTACAAAAGTGAGGAACGCAAATCTCGCAAGGACAGTCATTCTTATGGGTTTTGTATTTTTTATATAAAGAAATAGAGCACTCGCCAAAGGCGCTCGGGATAGGGAAGTCCTTTGCGGCTGGAGAAAACTAGGCTCCCCTAATCCCAACTATATTTTTCCTCCAACCCTGCTCAGACTTGATTTTATCTTTGCATATGGACCTCTTCTCAATTGGGTAGAAGTAGTAGAACGGTTCGTCAGTTCGGATTTTGCTAACCTTGTAACAGAGGAGAAGATCTATGAGGTCAAGATCTAGACCTCTGTCATGGTTCAGAAGTAACATAACAGATAGAAACCTAAGGAAATTTGGGTTTACTTGCAAAGGGGAAAGTTTCATTTTATTAAAAACGTAACTAAAGAAGGGATGCAGAGGGAACCTAATGAGATTTAATTGAAGATTAGAAAACAAGACCTCGCCGGGAAGAAGGCCAGCACCAGTCCTGATATTTACATCTTTGGGGCAAGCCCTAATTTGAATGTCATCAGGAAGGTTGAGTCTCATACGACGAACACCTAAATCTATAGTCATGGTGAAAGCGAGCAAAGATTCTGAGGAAGAACAGCAAATCCCTAAAGGAGGAGAAAAAAGCAAAACTAACCTCGAAAGATTAAACACCGCGAAGAGCACTGCAAGATCACTGGAAAAGGAAACTTTTGCAAAAGTTCGTCGGAGGAGATCTAACTCAAGAGAGACAGGTGAAGATTTGAATAATGATGAAACAAGATAGAGATAGTAAAAAGGATTGATGGAACATCTCTGAGGCTTATAAAGACAAGGTGGGCTCGAAGGCCGAGGAGTCAGGAAAGTGAAGAGTTTTTTGAATCTCGAAGCATGGACTCCCAAATCCAACCATCCATTCTTCCATGCGATCTTCTTGAACCGTCAGGCCATGATTAACAACCTCTAATAATTATCCCCTAATTTATTAGGGAGTAATTATGGGGGCAGTTGAGGATACCAGAAGTAATATGGGTCGGATATGACCCACGGACGTGGCATCGGGGCAAACAATTGAATTCAGCCCATACAGGAGCACCACAGAATGGGCCGAGCTCGGAGGATCCATCTAAGAAGGCCAAGCCCACTGGAAATCAGGCCCAAAACTGATAGTCCAACAACACCTGTAATTACCTATAAATAGGCGATGAAGGGAGTAAAAAAAGGGGATTATTGTGAAATGTACTGAAATTCTGTCAAAATGGAAGGAGAGATTTTCTTGCATTTACAGCCTCATATTAATATCAAGGCATATAAAATTTTAGGAGGACTACTAATTACAGTTGCAGTAGCGACTATCATTGGACAATTGCAGATGTGATTGGTTGAAAAAGTATAATTAATACATTCTCCTACCTTTATGAAGCATTAAAATTAATCTTAATTTTATAAGACAATATTACCTTCTTTTGTTTATGGACTATTATTCTCTCTCCTCCTTAATTGTGTGTCGATATATATAATATATATATATGTATATAGTTAATATTCTGTCAATGCATTATTTCCTTTTCTTCTTCTTTTTTTTTTTTTTTTTATTATATCAAAATCAATCATTTATCTTTGTTATCATCTATAATTATTTATCGCTCATCAAACCATCTTATTATATCTAAAGTGTGATTCCTATTACCAGTATACTTATCTCTTTCTCTCTATTAAATCATTCATTTCTATAATTTAAAAATAACAAAAACTCAATTATACAATTTTACTTCAACTAAAATTCCGTAAGTGTCATTTGTGAGATATATTTTATAATTAGCTAATTTCGTTGTCAAAACAAGTCCAATTGAGTTATAATTTTCAGTTCTAAAATTCAAAGATTGAAGGTCGGATGCGGATTTGAAGAAGTTCAAGTGTTCATGGTATACTACACTCCAAGATGATGAGAACAATGCTTTAGGAAGGTATGTGAGTGAGTGAGAACACTTTAGGGAGTTTAAAAGGTTGAAGAAAACAGAGAATACATTTCTGTCTAGTGGGAACCGGTATGAGAATCCTTGAACTGGTGGCAAACCTTAGTCCACAACAAGTTTGGTCACTGCCAACCTTGAACCGGTACCACAGTTGGGAACCAATAGCCAAAGTGCGTGGAAAAAGGTTTCTGACCTTCTTGAACAGGTACCAAGTTTGGGAACCGGTACCAATAGTCCTGACAGCATTAGAACTTTCAGTTTCTTCTTCTGATTGTTTCCTTTTTTATCCCAACTTCTTTCCAAGTCCTATGCACGAAAATTTTCATATTTTCAGAGGGATTAGGACATTCTAAAGTCTATATAAACCTTGGTAGTCATCTAGGTTTATTAATGGCTTTAGGAAAAATCACTTCTATATTTTGAGAAAGCCTTTTAGAGGGAGAAAATTCAGAAAATCAAATCTGATTATTCTGAGTTTATTTATGAGAGCATACACATATATTCATTAGTGATTTAGTGGTATTGTTCTCTATCTCATCGGAATTGGAGCTATATTGAAGATTCAGAGATTCCGTATGAAAAGCAAGATTTAGTTCTTCTACATCGAGTTCAGATCTTAAAGAACAGAAGTAAAAGCAATCACACTTTGAAAGGGTTGGAGCATTCAAGGAGTTTTGTCTGATCCTGCTACTTTTCTACAAATATCAAGCATAAGCTTGAGGTCAAGTTGCTGTTGGACGAGGAGTCGCAAAGTCAGAGGATTGTCAGCAATTGATGTTTAGTAAAACGATAGGGTGTGAGTCAGAGTCAAAATTCGGTATACTTTATTTCAAATATAGTGGATTGGTTTACTTTGGACTGAATAGTCCATAAGGTTTTTCCCATGCAAACAGTTGACGTATTTTATCAACTGGGGGTTTCATCGCTAAAAACCTAGTAATCTCTCTCAATTTTACTTGCTTTACTTTATAGTATTTATATTTGTGATTGTGAATGTTTAAATTGATCATATTACTTAAGTAATTTAATCAATCACAAATTGAGCAAGTTGACCTAATAATCAGATCTAGGTCATTAAAGGAGTAAATAACAATTAAACTAACTGTTTCCGCACCCTGCGTAACTCTATTTTCACATGATTATCCCATCACCACTATACCTCTCTCTCCCTTTCTCTCTTTACTAAACCATTCACTTCTATCTTCTACAAATAAGCTAAAACTCAATTATACAATTTTACGTCAAAGAAAATTTAATTTTATAATTTACTTCAATTAAAATTTACCGTTATGAAAATTCAGATCTAAAGTATAAATAATTAATATTTAATATATGCAGAATTCATCATCAATAAAAAAGACTCCTAAACAAACGAAGAAGGAAAGAATGAATCCGCCCGTTTAAAGACAATTCAAAAAAAAAAAAAAAAAAAAAAAAAAGATTTAGCTATATACAGTATATGTTTTATATAAAGATACGGAAGAGAAGAGAGAATATTAGTCAATAAACAAAAGAGGGTATATTGTCTATAAAAAAAAATTTTAATGCTCCATAAAAGTAGAAACACTGTATTAATTATAGTTACTTTTTTAACCAATCACATCTGTAACTGTTGAAGGACAATTGCGTACCACGACTGCAAATATCAATTCTCAAATTTTAGATTGTGAGTGAAAATTTCACATGTGATATTAAGTTAGAAGATGAATGAAATAACTAAAAAAAATTTAGCTGTAATATACCATTTGGCCGAAACTTTAATCAGCTTCTTATCCAGGCCAAAGGCTGTGACCTTGAGGATTTGAAACCTTTTGTCCAATTCTCCGTGGAGGACGGATTTATACATCTTTATTCTTGTATAAAGTGGTCATCTTTATCATTGAACTCGCAATCATATAGAAACAAAATCACAACAATTATATAAATATTCATGCACACAATTTCTCCAATACAGTACATAACTTAGAAATTATACAATATCTTTTCATACACTTGCCAGTGACCAATAAGGTGCAAACATTAACAACCACTTAACCTACCATCCTTATACCAAAGGTATTTGGCTTAACGGTTTAACTTCTCAATTCTCAAAGAGGAGAGAATGAGTGTACATTTGCTTTACCATTCAGAATAAATATATATATATATAATAATAATAGTATCCTTGAGCTAGTAATGGAGAGAAGCATAATTATTGATCAAAGCCAAAGCATTGCTAGTCAATTGCGCAATTTTCAGGACCCGACGCTTCACAACAGTCTTCAAGTTCCCGTCCATGGCTTGCTCGGGGAACCCATCCATGCACGTGTCGTCGTCCGTCAAAGCGGCACTGACCCAAGTCTTTATGTCACTCATCATTCGCTCAAAGTTTGGCTCCTTAGTTTGATTCATCTCTCCCAGAGATTCTCTCAGTAGGTCTACGGAGGCACTTAACAACTCCACACAGTCATCCATGGCCCCGACCTCTCTAGGCTTCATGCCGTGCCTTCGTGACAGTTTTTTCATCACGCTGGACGTATAATTGGCAGCGTCGAGGGTCACGGAGAGTGCTGTATATGCTAGGCGCTCAGGGCTTGTTTGGATAGCACTTGTATGGCGTGAGAGTGAGGTGAAACAAAGTTTTGGATAGATTGTCACTGTACAAGATTTTCTGATGAACTCGGAGCTTGAATTTCCGGCCACAGCACCGGAAGCCAAGCTCACGTAAGAGGTGAAGGCCAGTAGAATGAGAAGGGTTGTAAGAACATAACTTGAAGATGAGCCTTCCATATCTCTCTCTTTCTCCCTCTCACCGTTATTGGATTGATGAGAATGGGAGAGAGAGGTTTCAAATTTATAGGAAAAGATCATGCGGGGTAGTTTCGATAAGTATTATAGGACAATTATTTGGAGGATTTATCAAGTTTGGAATGACCATCCCAATAATGTATTAGGAGTACGTAATGCGCATGACCAGAAAATAGGTCGCGATATTTTGCTTAAGTTTCATTTTTTATTTTTATTTATTTATATAATATTATCATTATTTTTTGTAGACTTATAGAGGCCACGTTGTTAAAAATGTAACGGGCAAACAATCAACATCTACAGATTAGGCCATTCCAAAAGACACTGTTTTTTCGTTTTGGATTTGAGTGTTATATCACTGAAGATAGGGTTTGGGCTATTGTCATGTATTGTTTTAATTGTTTATTTTATTTAAGAAAACTTGTGCTACCAATCAAAAAAACGAAGTGTACCGCGTTAAAAGAAATAACCTGGTTGGTTGGTTGGTTTGTTTTTTTTTTTTTTTTTTTTCTTTGTTTTTTTTCATCATCCATAGATAAACACCGGACAATGGATACAACATGATACCGATACGGTGATACCACAAATCTAAAAAAAAAAATAAGGCACGAATATAGCATGGATACGTCAAAAAATAATAATAAAATATTTTTTTATATATAAAAAATAATCATTTTTATTCATTTTATCTACATAATCATGAATGAAGGCACTAATTTGAAGTTTAAAATTAAATGTTTGTTATTGTATTTTTTTTATTTTAAATTTTATACAATTTTGTTATTTTAAATTTTATACTAGTTTTTTTGTATTAGTCCATAATATATTTTACATTGCATTGAAATTCATTCTTCTAATAAAAATAATTACAAAATCATCCCGTTCTGAATGTGTAGAAAACAAAATATGCAAATTTCAGGACACTTTTAGCCATAAATAACACGTGTACGAGCCGTGTCTGCTTGTCCAGGCCGTGTCTGACACTGCCACGATACTCTTAATCAGGTGGAGTGTCGTGCTTCCTAGTCCATAATTAAGGATCGATGATTCTATTGAAAATACCCTTATTGCACAACACAATACAATCGAAGTGAGACAGACCACTCTCACTTGACGTTTTGGAAGCAAAGAAAAAACAAAAATGCATTTGATTAGTTGTTGCCTTTAAGATTTATTTCAAGAAATTGTACAAAATGGCTATAAAGTTTCTTTTAAGGATGCATCTTTAGGACATAATTTCAAAACAAAAAAATAAATAATTAAAATATTTGGATACTAATATGAAATGGGTGTTTACAAGTTGAAACATATTTTTGTGCTCAAAAGGATATGAAGATACGATTGAAACTGTTGGAAAAGTACTCTGAAGCATGAAAGAAAATATCTAGAAAAACACTGGAGTTACTAGTACACCGTCAATATAATTCGAGCTCCAAGAGTAACTCTCGAGAGTCGGGTAACAAGTTGAGACAACCGAGACCATAAATAGAGTCCTTCATACATACATAAGGCCATAAATGAATTAACTAAAAACCCATACACAAGAAAAACAATGTTCCTACTTTCATCACAAATTTCATTCACATTTTGTATTTAGATATCACCGTGCTACTTAAAGCAACATTGTAATAAAGCATCCCCACAATATCTAAGAGGTTGCGTTTTTTATCTAGAGTCTCTTACAAGCTTTTTTCTCTACCATCTTGTGTTTCTAGAGTCTAGACATCCTCTAAACATGAGTTAGATTGAGCTTACACTTTTGCAATAGGATGGTCAGAGTGCAGTAAGACTGTACTAATGGAATTCAGTATCCTAATCTTTCTTTATTTTTAGCATTCTTTAATGCAAACGTAGTCGTTTAAGGCTTTAAGCTGCTGGTTGAAATTTTACTTTATTATGATTATTATTATTTGCATTTTTTGGCTTGGTAAAGCCGTAAAGCTAGCCATTTTTGTTGATTATGGCATGTATGTGAACTTCTTTGTGTCTCATGTGTTTAATTTATGGTTCAACAAAGCAGGAATTGTGTGTATATGCTAGATCAGTCACTCGGTCACTCAGTTAGCACCTTTGCCTTCACGTTCGAGTGTCCTTTGTGACATATGAATGTGGTGATCCATGGATTCAAGTTAATGAACTGATTGATGTGAACTTTCTATACGTTCTGCTGGAGATATTTTGAACAATTATTATAGAGTTAAACGCAAAAAACATAACTCTAAAATATGCTTATAGTACATATCACACCCCTCACGTATAAAATACCCTCCTAAAATTTCAATTTGGTGCAAATAGGTACCTATGACGAATTTAAACCTTAAGTTGACTAAATTACCCTTACTGAACCATTTTATAAAATATATAAAAATAAATAATTTTGTAAAATGACCGAAAAATACAGTATTGGATGATGCCCCTCTCGTGCAAAAAACACCCTTAAAGTTTCAATCAGTGCAAATAGGTCCCTCTTATAAATTTAAACCCTAAATTGACTAAATTACCCTTACTGAACTATTTTATAAAATATATAAAAATAAATAATTTTGTAAAATAACCGAAAAAGACATTATTAGAGGATGCCCCTCTCGTGTAAAAAATACCCCTAAAGTTTCAATCTGGTACAAATAGGTCCGTCTGACAAATTTAAACATTAAGTTGACTAAATTACCCTTACTGAACCATTTTATAAAATATATAAAAGTAAATAATTTTATAAAATGACCGAAAATGACATTATTGGAGGACGCATATAAAATAAAAATAAAAGTATAAGAGAAAAGTAAAGATAAAAATAGAAAGAAAAAAAAATAAATAGAGTGCAAACTAAATAAAACAAAATTTTTCCAAATTCCGAAAATCAATGCATACTAATACACGGATTATTTATTTATTTATTATTATTATTATTTTATTTTTTAGTGTTGGTACAAAAAGTAAGTATTAAAAAAGAAAAAAATTAGTAAAAAAGAGTAAATTGGAATATCAAAAAATTTAAATCCTTGTTCTACAAATTCTTAAAGTTTTCTTTTTAAAAAAATGTTTAGAGATATATATATGGAGAAAAAAATTTAAAATATATATATATATATATATATATATATATATATATATAAAGTAATGTGCACATAACATTCCTATACTATATATTAGTAGTATATATACCCCATTGAGCATTTTTGAAAGATTAAAAGGGTAAAACGGGTATTACAATACTAATTTATGTCAGGGGGTATTTTCGCACAATATAAAAAGATTAGGTGTGATTTTTGCACACTTTTTCAAATAAGGAGTAAAAGTACTACGCGAAGTAAAATTTATGTGTGTTTTCTGTACTTGTCCCATTATTATATTGAGGGTAGTATTATTTTACGCAAATTTATTGTTTTGGTGCATGAACCGGGCTGAATAGTTTCAGATTGACACACGAGGTTATATTATGAATTTCTTAAACATTGGATCGACAGGTTCATGAAGGTTATTAATGTGGGCTTGTGTAGATACTTTTAAGTTCATGTACGAGTCGGCTTGGTTCATTTGCAGTTTATAACCGTCCGTGCTACTAATTTGAATGCTAGTTTTGTTTTTGATGCTTGTGACGGAAAGTAGAGAGGGACCCTCAAGTTGCTTGAGTGGGTAACACACGACAACTTTATAAGTAAAAATCTAGAAAGTAATGTTTGCTAATCTTAGAACACATGTATCGACTCCATAACACACGATATCACATTTTCTTTCTTTTTTTTCATTTTTTTTTTTAATCTTAGAACACGTGTATCGACTCCACAACACAAGCACTATTCAAGAGTACGGTTCAAAAGTGAGAACTCAAAGACTTACTTTTCGGATTTCTACCAACGCCGCTATACCTCTGAAAACGTAGATACATATAAATTTATATACAAATTAAAGTAATCTTAGAACACGTGTATCGACTCTACAACACAAGCACCATTCAAGAGTACGGTTCAAAAGTGAAACCTCAAAAACTTACTTTTCGAATTTACCAACGCCGTTATACCTCTGGAAGCATAGATACATATAAATTTATATACAAATTAAAGTAATCTTAAATACGAGCTCAAACTAAACAAAATACAAATACAAAGTTGAGGTTACATAACTGAGTTGAGCCTGAGCTTTTAAAAATAACAATGATCAGCAGCACTCGAGTTCAGCCTTTGTGACATGTGAATGCGGTGATGGATTCAATTTAATGAACTGGCTGATGGGAACTTTCTATACGTTCCCGCTGAACAAATTAAAACTCGAACTCGACTAACTTCATTTGCACCGTCGGTGCTACTAATTTGAATGCTACTTTTGTTTTTGATGCTTGGGGCGGAAAATAGAGCTAGTGTGGGACCATTGAGTGCTGATTACAAAATCAGACATCTTTTTCTAATTATTGAATTGTGAACTTTTAACCCGATAATGTCACTTCTTTATGTCTAATCTAATTGTCCCTGTGGGGACACTGAATAAAATGTCTAATCTAAGTAAAAAGCGCTGAGATTCCTCATCATCTCTTCTACACGTCCTCATCTTTATCTGCTTTATGTTCATAACAGTCACTTCGGAAATGTGAACTATGATTTGTTTTTCTTTTCAAACAATTTAATTATTTAAGTTGGAGTAATATGCTTTACTTATTTCGTTAGATGTTTGCTACAACAACAACAATAATAATAATAATAAATTGATGGTTGCTACATGAGTGAGTCACCGGATTGAGTTTGAGAGCATTCATTTGGCCGGACAAAAATAATCCGAGTTAGTCTATTGAAAATGGACACGGAGTATTTTGTTGTGAGGTCATTTTCGAATTAGAAATAAAAAAAGGTGTTAAAACAGTAAAACAATAGTAGTAGTAGTAGTAGTAGGTGTTAAATAACAATAATAGTAGTAGTAGTAGGAGGCATCCAGTTATGTACACACTACTTAGGCATGTTAGTCGTTGCAACAAGAGTGAGTTTGAGAGCAGTCATTTGGAAAAAAAACAATCATTGTTAGGTCTAGTGAAAGTAGATATTGTG